CCCGCGCCCGCAGCGGCGGCCCGGTGCAGGCGAGCAGGGGCCCGCAGCCCGGGCTCTCCCGCCCGGCGTCCTGCCTCTCACCTAGACGCACAGGCTTGGGCCTCGCCTTCCCCCGGCAGTCCAGCGATGGCTCCGCCGCCGTCGCGCTCTCCTCACTACCTCTTCCACCACCCCCGGCCGGCTGCTGAAGAGCGGACGGGTAGCGACACGCCCATTGGCTGCGACCCACACACGCGTCAGCCGGCCCCGACCGGACCGCGGGATGTGACTGGCTGGCGCGGCGCCTCTTTTCCACGTCTTGTCCTGATTGGCTGTCTCGAGTCCCCTTACCAGTAGGACCGCTCACCCGCCTCCTCTCTTCGGCCTCCGACCCCCAACTCCTTTTTTCATCCGGGAGGGAGAGGGGGCGGGAGCGGGCGCGGGTGGAACGCGAGCTGCCAATGGGANCGGGCTGGTTGGGATCGGCGAGAGCGGAGCCGGCGCTCCCGTGGACCCCTGGAACCTCCGCGGTGCCCTTTGAAAGGAGGGAGCCGAGCGTCCGCCTTCTCCAGCCCCGCGGGACTGTGGGCCAGGCCATTCCACTTTCTCCAGAATAATTTCGTTCAAAACTTTTCGGTGGTGTAAGAATTTAGAATAATGGTTACCCCTGAGGGGATGGTAGGGGCACAAGAGAATCTGATGCGAGTTTTAAAAGCTCGGTGTCTTGATCTGAGTTACGGAGATGTGTACGTTTGTAAAAATTCATTGAGCCTTGCATTTAAGGTCAGTGCACTCAACGCACTTTATATCTTAATTTTTTTTAATAATAAAAGGATTGTGAAAATAGCACTAATACCATGACCATAACCTTAGGCTCCTTGGGACTCCATGGTATAAACAATCCCACTAGGAATTACCAATCATTCCAAAGCCACAACCTTCAGGAGGAAATAAAAAGGGGGTTGTGAGAATTTTAAATGAGTGAAAGCTCCTAGCGCGGTGAATAACAGAAGTTGTTACTTTAAGGATGAGCCAAGATGAGTCAAAGTGATTTTCTTTGAGGATTTAGAGCTGGTTTCAGCGCCTGGCCCTGTTAGTAGCACAGAAGCACCCAGGGTGCTGCACCCAATTGGAAACTACAGAAAGTTTACTGAGCTCCCTACTTTGTGGCCACGTAAGTCTGAACCCTAGAAACTAGGAGCTCACAGTCCAGCACCCAGTACAGTCCTTTTTGGAAGAGGAAACAGAACACAAAGCTAACACTGTTGCATACCCTCCGGGATGGAACATGCCCCTAGGTGAGGCAAGATGTGTGCCGGAACCCAGTCCAGTAGCAGAATTCTGAAACAGCCAGGGTCAGGTGAACACTCTTAGAAATGGGTCGATAATATTCCCCCCAAAACAAACATAAGAACTCTGAACAAAATTCTAACCTGTGTTAGGGCACCAGCAAAACAGTTAAAGATGATGGGATTCGTATTTAGTGATTTCATCATTAAGTTGTTCAGTTCAGATAAATGACTTTGTTTAAAGCACTTGTTCCTGCACTAGGCACTTAAAGTTAGATAAAACAGTATTTTCCATAGAGCAAAGGGTGTAATAGAGAGACAGACGTAATCAGATAATTCCAGTGTAATGCAGGATGAGAGTATACATATAAAGAGGATCTAACCCAGCCTAGAAAATGTAGGGGCATCTTCTTAGAATATACTGCTGAGCCCGGCCGGGCGTGGCTCAGTGGTTGAGAGATTGGGGTTCGATTCCCGGTCAGGGCACATGCCCATGCTGCAGGCTGCAGCCAATCAATGACTCTCTCATCATTGATGTTTGTCTCTCTCTCTCCCTCTCCCTTCCTCTCTCTGAAATCAATAAAGATAAAAAAAAAAAAATACACTGCTGAGGTTTATCAGCATACCATATGTAATTAGGTACTATTTCTAGAGAATACTTTCGTTACAAATTTTTTAAATTTTATGCAAATATCTTTTTTATAAATACAAAAACAAATTCATATTGAGTTCTGAGAAACCCACATTAAGAAATTAAGTAATTATTTAATGAATATATTGTGATTTTCAAAAATAACTTTAGAGTTGAGAGCATAAAATCACCTCATTTGACTCACCAGCATGTATGTAACGTGTGCCTCCAGCAGAGACCCCCCCCCCAGATGG